CACACACACACATGAAAACGTGATTGAAAAGAATCCATCAGAATGTAATTCCTCTTGTCCTTAACCCTAACTTGCAGATTCAATTTGAATCTCTTGATTAAAGTCTTCCTTGCACATACACTCTTACATATATGTATTTCATAAACCTCTAACTCTTTCTCCCCCACTCCCTCTGCTTAATATAATCATCCTTAAATTCACTGTAATAATCTGAATATGGATCATTATTTCTCTTTCTCTCAGTTTGATTCAAGAAGCCAAATTGAAGTCATTCAGTGTAATTGCAAAACACATTTACAGTACCTCTGGTTTTAAAAGATAGGTCTAGTGAAATTCTATATTTTTATTATAGTCAACAAATCCCATGTGCAGACCCAAAGCAGAAAAGAATGTATCTACTAACAAGTATTGTGTATCTTATGGCATTTTCAGAGCGGGATTTTTTTTGTTAGTATGTGAAAGTAGTATAGTATTTCATTATAATATAGCTTGTGTTCAGGTCTTTAAAAATTATATTGTAAATAATAATCTAAACATAATAGTGTAAGAAATCTAAGCCTATAGGTTAGAGAAGCGAGCTTGTGTCGTCGGTTCTGTCACCACATTATGACTTTTAAATTAAAGAGCTCTTCACGCTGTGCACAGTGGCACAGTGAGAAAGTACATGTTTTGTCAGATTTGTGTTCTCCCTCCAGCTTGTATACTGTCACTTTAGATCCATCCACTCATATTATTATGTTTCATTCTTCCTCCTACAGACTACCAGCGGTTGATGACAGTGGCCGAGGGAATCACCACCCTGCTGTTCCCCTTCCAGTGGCAGCACGTCTACGTTCCCATCCTGCCCGCCTCTCTCCTCCACTTCCTGGATGCTCCTGTTCCCTACCTGATGGGCCTGCAGTCCAAAGAGGGCACCGACCGCTCCAAACTGGAGCTTCCTCAGGAGGTACACAGCCAGCCTATGTATTGTTAACAGCTGTATGTAGCCATTGAATAGATTGAGATATTTTGGATAGCAAAGTATCTCACTCATAATTAGTAACTTTCACTTTTTAGTGCTCTGGTCTTAAAGATATCCCCAGGACGTCTCACTCTTTGTTCTTGAGCAGGCTTAAAGGAATAGTTTCATTAGTAAAATATGCTTATTCACTTTCTTCAGATGAAAAGACTTACAGTATATAAGTAGCATAACAACTGTAGACAGGAGGAAACAGTGAGCCCGTCTCTGTGCAAAGGTGAAAAATCCAGCTGGCACCTCTTAAACTAACTAATTAACAAGTTGTGTCACGTTTGTGTATCGCCAACCTGGCTGACAGGAATTAGTTCCAGCACAAAATTCCCTATGAAACCACAAGTGAGTCTTGTGAACTGTATTTAGGTGTATTTTTTTTCTTTAGAGAGAGCCAGGCTAGCTTTTTCTGCCTCCTGTCTTTATGCTAAGCTAGGTTAACCACATCCTGCCTTTAGACATATGCTTCTTATCTCTCGGAAAGAAAACAAATAGGTGTATTTGCCAAAATTTCAAACTTCTAAGTTTTCCAGAGTAGCAGATAATCGTCATAGGGGTACATAAATCAACAGACAGTACCTAGTTACAACTGAGTCTTAACAAATCTTAACAAATTTACAGTATGAGTCAGATGAGGAGTAGCTAATCTCCTCCAAAAAAATGACAGGAAACCCTATCAATGAGCTCTCTCTAAATTACCTTTAGCTATAACCTTACAAAACATTAAAGCGATTGGTGACTGTGAAGGTCAGAGCAGCATTAAAGACTCATCAAACCTTTCAGTCAGCCCTTGTTGCTGCTACACTTATTGATTCAGGTTATATTTTGCACACAATCTGTATATACACTATGATATAGCTGTAATGATGTTGACTCCTGATCCTCTTTTTCAATTCATTTTTAATTTGCCTGATTAAACTATTAATCAATCCAATAACTATCAGCAGTCAATGTCAGAAAACCTTATCATACTGTAGCAGTTACCTAGTGTTTCTGTAGTGGTGACAAAACTTTAAAAACTATACATTGTAGCAGTTTCAATGAAACTAAAGCTCCATGCTATATATTACGCCAAATTCCCTTTAAGAAATATGACTTAAAGGGATATGAATATGATTAAAATTTCCTAACATGTCTGTAAAAAATCACAACACTAGAAACAAAAGATAAGTTGTGTCATATTTAGTCTCATACCATCTTATTGTCAATTTAGCATCAATAAATCCATGAAGATTACAAACTTTTTTCAACTCGCTACAAGCCTGTTTGGTTAGCTGCACTATTTCACATACTGTGGGAATGAGAAGCTCATGCTTTGAAAAATGTATATTTCTCACTAAAATAAGTGCAGTTGGTGGGTCAGATCATAACACTAATTAATTTGCTGTCTGTCATGAGTGTGTGGAAGAGTTTTGCCAGCCGTTACATAAATGTTTGCTGCTGGGCAGCAGGATGGGCAATGTAACTATTAGTTAATATACTACATATGAAACGGCCAGATAGAACTATTTTCAAATGTTTTAAATTGGCAAAGTTGTCTGGTCAAGATGTGGGGAAGCAACAGCACATCTTGTTCCCACTTCCCACAGGTGTAATAATAGTGGTGCAGCTGCTCCACTGGCTCTATTGCTCAGGCGCCTATGGTTGTAAGCCTTGGGTTATTAAAAGTTTGAAATGAGTGTAGCCCCGAGCTGTCACTGGGGTTCAGGTTAGCCTAGGGCCAAGAAATGCTAGAGTGAAAGGCCTTTGATATGAACTGAGTTTTTACATTAGTACTTTAAACTTGGGGTGTAATGCTTGTGATTGGAGTTATGATTACATTAAGTAAACAAACAAAAGGTAATTCCCTGTACTGTTATGTGTGTAAGGCTTGGTGTGTGTATGAACTACAATGGAAGGCTCCCACAAGTATTGTAAAACACTACTGTAATTGTGTGCATGCACAAGCTGCAGCACTCTGCGCCCAGTGCTCATTACTGCTGACAGCACATTGTCCAAGGCCAACACCGACACACACACACACACACACACACACACTCACACTCACACTCACACAGGCAGACTACAGGCTCCTATTCAGACAGACAGGAAATTGCAAAAAAACACCTTTCGGTTCAAACAACCTCATACACACAATAGGACAGGGAATTACCTATTGTTGGTCTACAAATTCACCTCAAGGCAAAGTGAGTCAGAATGGGTTTTAGTCTCTGCATTCTTCTAGCCTTTCTATTTCAGCCCCAAAACTTGTCAGACAGTGAGGAGGTAAATGTGTTTCAGATTCCAACCAGTATTTAGCCCAATGCAGGGTTGCAGTAAATGTGTGTGTGTGTGTGTGTGTGTATTCATGTGTTAAAGCGAGATAAGGCCCTAACAAAGCGGAACATTGAGGCTCGCCGGCTTCCGGCTTTGCTTACATCCCCCGACTCCCAGCGCTTGTTAATCCTGCACATTCCGTATGGATGCTAATGATCCCAGCCAGCGCAGGATGCTGCCGCCGAGCACCCAAAAACCCCTTCTGCCTCTTCTCCCCTCCTCCTCCCCCACGCAGGGTCCCCCGCCTGCCGAGGCTGGTGAATCAACCTGTGTTGCTGAGTGATCCTTTGAAGTGGCAGTGCCCTAGAAATGGGCTGATGATGAAAGAATGGCTTAAAGCAGAGCAGCGAGGAGATGATGAGAGAGAGGAAAATATGGATGTAATTGGGAAATTAACGCCAAAATTGCCTTTTTAAACCCTGTACTTCAATCCAGGTCTTCTTCTTTTACCTAGAGTAGATGATAACATCAGTTATGTTTGCACTGCAGACAAGATTGTTAAGGGCATTGTTATGGTAAATGGACCTGTACTTGTATAGCGCCTTTCTAGTCTTCCGACCACTCAAAGCACTTTTACAATAC